GTATCCACATTTTTCGCTGCTCAATTTTATAAATCGCTTTTGGAAAAAAATAAAATTTTATTTCTGAACTTGTATTGTGAAATACATTCTTACACGTGTTCACGCAACAATTTAAATTTCCTTTCCGCAATTTTTCCATTACGATGTATTAGAAAACTCCAGCAAATAATGCAAATTCCGGCCACCATGGGCGCTCTAAGTCCTACTTTTCCGCTATAGTATACCAGCGCACACAGCGAATAAAATAATATTCGACGCTGACTGGCAAAAAATATTTATTCGTATATCTGTATTGTTAATATTGTTATGCGATAGCTTTATACTCACCAAAATAAGCAAGTATAAGAAAGAAGCGTCAGAGTCAGAGGATCACCACTACCCTGTTAGATCATCGATGTCAAGCAACAAGGCGCCGGTATACTACTTGGATGGGTGACCGGCTGAGAGAGTGGATTTACGCACGTGGCTTAATATATATTTTTTTGTTTCGGTAACAAAATATTTCATTTTTCACATATCAACAAATAGTTTTTGCGTCACAATCTGCTATTTTCTGATCTAGTTTTCCTCAGACACTTTGCTTTACAGATTGAACCTACAACGGAGTTTATAAAAATTGTTTTGTTTCCGTTATCATTATAAATTTTTACGCGCAAAATTAGAATTTTATCTTTATGTTGTTACCATTTTGTAATTACATTTTTCTAATAATCTATTGTAGGTTCTATCTTTAGAGAAAAGTGTCCTAAGAGAGGGAAAACTAAACCAGAAAATAGCGGATTGTTCCCTTAGAAATTACAGAATTGTGGCAAAATCGAGAAAAATTTCCTCGCTCTCAGATTGAACCTACAACGAAATTATTTATTATTGTACTAATTATTATTTATTATTTGTAAGTATATTTAAAATGTAGAAAATTAATTTGTAATATAAAATGTATTAAAAATGTCGAAAGATTTAATAAATTAGTTTAGGTTTTTTATAACTGACAAAAAAACAAGATTGAAAATTTCGAGTGTCTCGCGTTTTGCCACAATTCTGTAATTTATAAGAAAGCATTTCTAATTAGATCAAAAAATAGCAGATTGCTTCTTTAGAATTCTAAACTTAAGTTACGGAATCGTGGCAAAATGCAAGGCACTTGAAATTTTCTGTCCTATCTTCAATGACAGAAAATTCCTATGTTTTTAATAAGTTTTATATTACAATTTCTTACATCTCAAGTATGGGTAGTACGTAGCACCTATGTAAATGGAGAATTATGTCAATTTATTCCTTTCCATAAAATATAAATTAGCAAATTTCATCCCTTCAATTTGACTATATAAACTTCCTTTCCCCTCTTAAGATAGGAAATGATTTCGTACAATATTGGGTCCAGAACTTTTACTAAAACACTCGCGTTTTATTTAAGCTTTTAATATTATTTCTTTATAAACATTGATATTTTCAGTAGATAGATAAATTGAAAAAATAGAAAAAAATAAGATGGTAGTACGCGATTAATTATTTAACATGAATATCAGATGATTGATTTTGAAACTTTTTCCAATTGAACACACACAATTGAACAAAGAAATTGCCTTCTACTTTCAGAGGAATATATTCAAAAGGCTACAAAAGATGGACTATAATTCAATATATTCATAATAGGTGCCCAAAAAAAACTTGAGTAGAGGTAAAACTACCAATACAATTCATATATAGAAAAAATATAATTATAGTATCCCAAATATTTGCATTTGAAAACTCGTATCGACTTAAATTTACTTCGTTTGTTTTCTATAAATAGGTTCATTATTTTACTTCTTTGTTGTGCCAATTACTTGCAATTATCTGTTCTATAGAAATTTACACCTTACCTAATATGTTGATTTTGGAAAGAAAAAAATAGGAAATATATAAAATAGTAAATAATACAATAAATAAAAATATAAAACTTATTAATCAAATTGTATACTAAATAATGAGTGCAATAAAAAAGCATTTACTTTTAAGATTGCATTAGTGCTAGTCTACAACCTATTTTAAAGGATATTTAAGCTCTAAGCCGTAAGAAATTGACCAATCACAATGGAATGTAAGGAGAATACTCGATTGTGATTGGTCAATCTCTAAGTCCCCATCTACAATAGGTGTTTTAAGCCCTAAGCCTTAAGAAATTGTTCAATCATAGTTGAATTTGAGGAGAATAATTGACTTTGATTGGTCAATTTCTTAGGGCTTAGGGCTTAAGGACGTTCTCTCGTCCTTATACTAGAGAAAATCGATTTTCTTAGGATTTTCTTGAAACTGTGAATATACGTTAATTTAGGTGTGCTTTATGCGTGGTATAAATTTCAGTACCTCTTCCGGTATAAAAAATCACGATACTGAGCCTCAAATTTGAAATTGTAGATGGGCACTTACGGCTTAGAGCTTAAATACCCTTTAAAGCAAGATTGTAGACCAGCACTTACATTCATAACAACATTGATGCTACCCAATAACTGGCGCGTCGGCATTATTTGTACAATATAAGCAAATACACTAATAATTGCATTACAGTTGGTGCCTTAGAGAGTACAAATTCCTAGCGATAGATAGCACAACGCAAAGTTAACGCCTGCAAAGCGAGCTTCTTTCTTGGATTTCCGAACTCTTGACCATAGTATCTTCAAGAGAGCTTCAAAAAGAGTTTTCTTTTTACTTAGAACTTTGATACTTTAATCTTTTTGATAACGTAAACTAGGAATCTTTTAGTAAAGAATCGGACAACAGGTTAATAGGCTGCGGATTGGTCGCCGCCATTCGAGAAACACTTCCGTGCTTCCTGTTATATTTATTACATGCAATATGTGTTAAGTAAATGTAATGCTAAAAATATTATATTTACATAAATATCAATAATTATTAAAATCTGTTACGTTATTTCCGAATATGGGCCAAAGCACATAACATGGCGTAGCGATATACGACGGTCGTAGTCCTCGACCTGACAAATCAAGATACGCCAAAGCTTGTGCGTTACTTACGTCCACGACTACGACTGTCATATGTGCTTTGGCCCTATACAATATATATTATTTAAGATTAAACATTCATAATAAACATTTGAATGTCACTTTTGCATTAGAATATATAGTTTGAACATCGCGTGGCGGTTGCTTCCGGACTCTCAAATGGCGACGTATCCGGCGTGTCCGATCCCTTACTAGAAGATTCCTAACGTAAACGTTTATAAAGTTTACAATTATTAATAGTTATTTAAAGTTATTAATTGACTTTTAAAATATCTTTCCAACAGACTGTTGTTTACAAACTATTTGATTGTAAAAACGTTTGATTCAAAAATTTCAAAATTCTGAATAATATAAAAAGGCGGTTTAATTTAGTTTAGTTTAAACTAAACTAAAAAGGCTAAAAAATCAGACTGTTTAATTTAAAAAACCTTTTCTAATTTTACATTTAGTAAAAATTAAAGATTTAAATATTCGTAGAGCGAAACATCAAAGTTCTAAACGGAAAGAAAGCGTGATACTGTAAACTTCAAAAGGACGAAAATCCAAAAAGGAACAAAAAAAACTTTGTTAGCTTCTCTTTATTTGTTAATAAATGAATCATCGTTTCTGGACACAGTAAATAACTGCGTATCGTCTCTGCCATGTAGGAAGCAGATTCTCGAGAATTTAAAAAATTTATTAAGACTCCTGTTCACTCATTGCAGCTATCTTGAATTGATGACGTCAAAAGCAAAAAAATATATCATAAAAATTCTTACAACGTACATTAAAATAAAAATATTTTTTTAATAAAATCGCATTTGTAATCGATGGATTTGTAAAATATACAAAAAACTCCCCTATTGTGTAGATAATCAATAACCCATGTATGTCGAATTGAATTGTATCTAATCAAGGACGAAACAAGCTGTTTTACAATTGCCGAATTGAAATAAATATTTGCTTTCACATATTTATAATAGATGGGAATCCTCGGTATATTTTAACACACACTACAATTATTTTAAATATAAAAACACTACAGTAAAATGAAAAATGACGCTGTATGTTACAAGAATAATTTAGCTTTTTAACGTCATTTTCATTTTTTATAAGTCGCAATTTTGCCAAGAGTGACGCTGTATGTACTGTCAACATAAACTTGGCAATCGAGCTAGTAGGAGCCTTACGCCAGCTTGCAATAAAAAACATTTACAGAATAACACGTTAGAAAGTGTCTAACTTAGATCTTTGACGCACACATTAAAAGGTTACAGAATAAACTTGTTCTGTATACATTTTATACAGTCATCTGTACATTTTCGCGCACGCACGTATTCATGTTTAATCCGACTACAATTTTAAATAAGAGGAGAGCATAATTTCTAAGTAAATTTTCTATTAACTCAATAAATAAGTTACTTAAGTATGTTAAATAATTCAATAAATAAGTAACTTATATGAATCGTAATTTAAATGTTTATAAAATTTTCTATGTATTTACTGTCTACATTGTTTGTAAGACCATTACTGCATCAATTATTCGTTGCAATTCGCCTTCGTTATTCGCCAACTTTTCCTTGTTATTCTTTTGAACATCAAGAGGTACCTTTACATCATAATCGGGCACAGCTAAATCCTGTTTCAATTTTTGTATAATCTCGACTAATTGTCCTTCCTTTTTTTGTAATTTTTCTAACTCTTTCTTTGGGTCAATCAAACCCTACAAAATACATTTATATTAATAAATATATAATAATAATTAAAGTTACTTTAAATATTATTGTAAAAGTATATAATATGGTGTAATGTGTTTACCTTTAGTAATAGATGCACTTGAACTTTGTCAGTTACAGTAACAATAGCACAACCTACTGGTGGTTTTCGCGTGCTGAGAATAGAATATGCAAGAGTTTCTATGAGTAATTTATACCGAATAATCTTCTCCTTTAAAGCCGAATCACTACACACGATATACGCTTCAGTTTTCGTTTTATTCGGTAAATTGTAAGTTGCGCGGGCAGATCGAACATTTTTAATTATTTTTTGCGCAAACTCAACGTCCTTTTCGACCTCTCGGTTTCTCCAACGGCACTGAAATACATCAGACATGTCGCAGCTATAGCACTGACTTTAATCACGCGTCATCATCGCGGTTGTAAATATATAATTACCTACCTTGGCATCATCTGGATATGGACTTACACATATACTTGGATATATTAGCTTCTTACGAGGTAAACGTTGATAAAGCTCTTCCGTTATAAAGGGCATAAACGGGCTCAACAAACGCAACCCCACATCTAGCGTTATAAATAATATTTTTTGAGCCGCTAATTTAGCCGCATTATCTTCGCTTTGGAATATTGGCTTGAGGTATTCCTAGTAATAGACACATAAATTGTTGTATAAAAAGATTTTTTCTCCGTGTCCCATAATGTACCATAACATAAAAAAATCAATTATTACTGACCAGATAAATATCACACAAGTCATATAGCCATAAATTGTAACAGGTAGAAGTAGCTAATGCAAAATCATACTGTTTTATTGCTTCGTCGCAAGTCGCGGCGGCGTAACTAACTCGTGATAACATCCATAAATCTACATTTTTCTCATTCCCAGTCAGCTATAATAAGAAAATGTGTTACGAGTACAGATTAAAATTTTTGCTAATTTTTCTAAACAAAGGTGTTACTTGTATATTAAATAAAGCTTTACCTCAAATGTATCGTCATTATTGCGTTGATGCTCGTTAACGTATGCAAGTTTTGGTATCATTTTATTTTGTTCCGCACGAAACACAGCCTTTTCTTCAGCCGTAAATGTGGCGACATGGTCGTACCAACGTTTAATGTGCAGATGCCTTGCAAGATCAATGTTTAATTTCTTCAATGATCGATGAACTGCCGAGTCAAGTTGCGAAGGTGTATAACCATCGAGGTACGGGTAATCCGCCAAGTAATTATTTAGCGCCTCCTGCACGCACGATTCATTCAAAGTCCACTGATACCACTCACTATCTCCAACCATGTCAATACAATTTGCGTTATTGTATTTCTGGCGTAAAAGAATTTACAATTACATATTTGATATTTTACAATAGTCAGAACATGGGTGACTTTCATAAAATGTTAAAATTTACCTTATCATTTAAATTGTCGCATTTAAATTGAGATCCAAGATAGGTAAGTGCGAATTTTGTAGCGTTCCATATCTTGTTGCAAAAGAATCTGTATCCTTGTACGCGGAATATATCAAGATTTATATCTCGCCCTTGAGTAGTATAGGCACAGAGAGCGAATCGCAGAGCATCCGTTCCACATTCGGGAATGCCTTGCGGATAATCACGCTTCTGACCTTCTTGAGCTCGTTCAAGCTCTTTTGGATCCAGGTTGGAATCTAACAATTGTCTTTGGAGATCCTGAAAGAAAACAAAACATTCTTGATTTAAAAAGAAATTACGGAACATATAATAAATAGCAAGTCATTCTTCCTACACACTTCTAAAGATATTCCTTTGATTACATCCATAGGATCTATTACATTTCCCAAGGATTTACTCATTTTTCTTCCATGTGCATCTCTCACCATCGCGTGCAGATATACTTCTCTACAGAGAGATAGATCATTATTTCTTCATACAAAAAAATATAGATGTTGAATGCATTTAACATACTTGAAAGGCAGCTGTTTCAACAATTTTTGACCCATAAAGACCATCCTGGCAACCCAAAAGAAGAGTATATCGTGGCCAGTTTCTAATAGCGTACCTGGATAAAACGCCTTGAGCTCAGGAGTCTGAAAAAACACATTCCGACATAGAAGTTCTTTACTTTAAATTTCATAAGCTCAATCGCTTTGTTTCTTAAGGCTCCTGGAGCCCTATTCTCGAATCGTTTTCATGAAACTCGCATGCGAAATTCAATGCTTTTCAAATAGAAAATCGCATACGAAAATCATTAGGGCAAGCTCAAGAAAACGGTCCCTGGGCTCTTTCCCGACATCTCGTGAGATGTGCCGTCAGAAGCGAGAAACGTTGAGAATTCTTGCATGCCATTTCCAAATAAAAAGGTATTTGCATAAAATAACACTTCAGATCACTTCAGCACACTTCGAAAATACTCCGAGTTCAGGTTAGGTCTACCCCTTTCCCTTGACAGTTAATAAACAGCCGTAAAATGAACGTAATACGAAACCTAGTCATGCGCCTGCGCATACGCCTGCATCGTTTCACATTCGTTTTACGGATGTTTAATAACTGTCAAGGGAAAGGAATGCAACTCGGAGTATTTTTGAAATGTGCTAAAGTAATCTGTAGTATTATTTTAAGCAAATATCTTTTTATTTGAAAATACCATGCAAGAATTTTCAACGTGTCATTTCGCTTCTGACGTCACATTCCAACATGCAGAGTACCCAGGAGCCTTAATTCACTGTATTATGGCATACATACTTCATCTGGCCAACCAAAGACAGAGAATGGAAAAAGAGCAGAAGAGAACCAAGTGTCTAATACATCAGGATCTTGCTCCGCAATAATGTCGTTTACGTTAACGTCCAATTTCTTAGCCGCTTTTTCTTTAGCCTCAGCCTCGGAATGCGCACTTACCCAATATTCATCTATCTATATGAGATTTTTTATTCATTATGTGAAAACTATCTGCTTAAAAATCATTCAGTACAAAAAAGCCTACAGTTTTTAAAGATTTCATAAAAATTACCTTCTTTGTGTTTATAGAAGAACTAGTAGACTTAATTGCATAGGCAGGAATGCGATGGCCCCACCAGAGCTGACGCGAAATACACCAATCTCTGATACTATCCATCCAGATATACCAAGTTTTCTTAAATTGTTCTGGAATTATTTTCAGAGCACCCGTACTTACCGCTTCCCTAGCTTGAGCAGCCATTTCGTCACACTTGACATACCTGAGTACGAAAAAAAATCAGATAAATTTCTTTAAAAAAAGGTCAACAAACACAAAGGTTCAAGTACACAATGCGTTAACTTACCATTGTGGCTTCACGAGAGGTTCGACCACATCTTTCGATCGACTACATATGGGTATTACCATTGGATTGTCTTTTATACTGATCAACAGGTTTCTTTTTTTCATCTCTTTAATGATAGCTACTCTGGCATCAAATCTTTTCATTCCCTGTAATCAAGGGCTATTTAATTCGTGTACATTTACTTTGGTATTTATATAATAAAATCTCTCAAAAAAGTTCTCTATATTATATCTATAAAGAGAAATATGATACCGTAAATTCGCCATAGTCTCCAATAACGTTTCCATCATCGTCAAAAATGTTGATAAATGGCAGATTATGCCTCTTTCCAACCTCATAATCATTTGGATCATGGGCTGGCGTAATCTTTACAGCACCTGAGAAATAGTTCAGTTATCCTTGACCTACTTTCACCACAATGTTACTTTCACAATAGCTTAACTTTCAGTACATTTGCTGATTTATCAAACTACTTATATGTATACCAGTGCCAAATTCCATGTCGACAAACTCATCTCCTATAATGGGTATATGCCTGTCGCAAAATGGATGCTGCACATATTTTCCAATATATCGTACGTATCTACTGTCCTTTGGATGCACTGCAACAGCGGTATCTCCTAACATAGTTTCAATGCGAGTGGTTGCCACAATTATTTTGTCTTCCGAATCAAGGAGCTGATAAGCGAAAAATACCAAAATACCAAATTCTACTTTCTTTTCGTAGCCAGGTATAGAAAGCAGAGTCCGTCCACTTAATTCCACTTTATCAACCTTTTTTCAACAAATATATTTTTAATAAAGATTTTCAAATTGGTCATTGTACATATACATTTCAAATATACATTTGTTAAAGAAATATCTATCATCTACATAGTACTCACTTCAATATCCGATATCGCACTTTTTAAAGCGCACGACCAATTAACTAAACGATTGCTGCGATAAATAATACCTTCATCATGCAAGCGCACAAATGCCTCTGTTACGGCTTTACACAATTTAGGATCCATTGTAAAACAAGCACGGCTCCAATCAAAAGAACCGCCTATCTTCCTCAATTGCGAATAAATTCTATCGCCTTTTCTGAAAATATATTCAAATAGATAACCTAATTAAATATTATATATACATATTACATTTTGTTTTCCATGTAATTGTACAAGTTGTTTTAATAAATGTTTTGTTTACAATTTTTCTTACTCATATTTCCACTGCCATATTCTCTTGATAAATTCTTCTCTACCAATATCATGACGAGATTTATTTTCTTCCTTCCACAGCTTTTTTTCTACAACTACCTGGGTAGCAATACCCGCATGATCACAACCCGGATTCCAGAGTGTTGTACGACCTTTCATACGGTTCCTATATTAATTACATTAACAATTAGAAATCCAACAACTGCAGTTCTATCTTTTAGAAAGTGTCAAATTATATCCTAAATTCATATAACATTTATACCATCTAGTAATAGCATCTTCTACAGCGTTAGTCAGAGCATGTCCAAGATGTAAGAAACCAGTTACGTTAGGCGGTGGTATTACCATTACAAATTTTCCCTTTGGATTTTCCTCCAATATATCTTTTTTCTAAGATGAAATTTTAACGTATACAGATAAGTACGTTTTAAATCCAATGATATTACATATATTTCAATTTTTATCTTTTCCAATTTTTCGTTTACTTACTCCATATTCTGGTTTAAAAAAACCTTCCTTTTCCCACCAAGGATACCATGCAGCTTCCACATATTGCGGACTATACGTATCTGGCATTGGGCATGTGACATTTTTCTTTTCTCCAGGTGGTGTATCGATAGTATACAAGATTGCTGTAGTTTCTTTCTTGTTATCATTTTTCTACGATATATCAGATTAATGAATAAATTATTAACACATTGCTTACAAAAATGCAATATTTCTTTTCCATTAACACTAAATCGACAATACTTATTGCCAATAAAAATATATGGAAATATATAAATATTTCTAAATTATGGTGCAAGTACAGTCAGAAATTGTAAATACTCAGAAAATGTAATATTAAAATTATGTGAAATAATTATTACTCAAATAAATGTATTTGAATTATTTCACTAATCCAAATCTCAATATCAAAAAGCTAGATCCACGAATATGTAAAGAGTAGTTTGGATCTAAACTACAACAAATTAGACAGAAAACTAATTATAAAATAAAAATATGCGCCAAAATTTATCAAAATTATATGCAAGTTTCCTGTCAAACTTGAATAATGCAACTATCGTGTTTTATTTGTGTGACACAGATAACTCTCAAATAATATGTACTTAAATTGCATCGAGTTTCAAATAGCACGGTAAAAAATTGTAATAACTTAATTTAAAAAAATTTTTTTTAATAAAATAATAATTTAGGACTCTCGAAATTGGAAATTTGTAATAGGATAGCTATGAGAGTCAAACGCAGTTGTCTGTGCGTAGATGATCAGAATCACTGATTTATTCCAAATCTATTCCAAATGAAATACAATCGAACTTTTTAAAATAATTCAATTTTTTTAAATAATTCCTTGAATTAAATGCCCAATTTTATATAGATCTGGAGTCTTGAATTGCAATTTTCAATAGCACAAAACGTAATCTCTAAAATTGTATGAATCCTAAGCCTTGAATAATATAGTTTTCAATAACTTGAAATAATTTAATCATAATATATTATTTGAGGATTATCTGTATGTATAAATACAGATGGCAGTGCAATCAATTCTATACAGCAACAATATATAAAAAAGATTGCTTTACATTTTATGTATTTTATAGTTACATAGTAAAAATAAATACAGAAAATAAAAGTCTGACGCAAAATCTCTAAGAAATAGAGGCCTCGTTTACACTGATCGTTTGATATATGTACACAGTACTATATTCGTATTAGATTAGCTTAATATGAATGATATAATAAATCAAAATAATACGCATACTTACAATTAGTAGCAGTGTAAACATTAAAATACTAAATAATGATCAATTTAAGTTTTCTTCAAAAATATGTCTTTCATAATTCTAGTAATGAACGTATGGGTATGTGAGATCATAAGTAATCTACGAAAAATATTATAATTAATAGCATGTTGTGTAAAAAAAGACAGATATATGCTCTAAAATTTCAGACATAAGTTAGCACCGAGACACCATATATCATTTGACCTGTGCTTTGAAACCTTATTCCTACTACTCTATTTACTTCAAATCATTTGGTGTAAACGTATTGAAAATTTAGTGCTTGGTGTGTACTATCCTATTATGCCCGTTCTAGACTGGAGGATGATCCTACTCTCGGCTCATTCTCCTTTCTATAGTGTACGTGACATAAACTATAGATTTTTACACGTCTACACTACTTCTCGGATGAGCCGAGAGTAGGATCATCCTCCAGTCTAGAACAGGCATAAAAGGTGTGTGGGATAAACTAAGTTTATAACTTGATTTTCCCTCTATGGAAAACATTCGAAACAGGTGGAAGTAGAAATAACTAAATAAATGCTAGTTAACTCAGCAATTAGTTCCTTTGTTGCGATAAAAAAAATTTGGAACTGAATTTTTGCACATTTGGACAGATTTAATTCTTTATCTCTAGATATCGAGGTTTGAATCAATTGAATAATTCAAACACTCAACAAGAATAAATTAGTAAATTAATTGCGCGAATGTCCGAATGTTAGCAAATTTGGACCACGTTTGTAAGTCTAATTAAAATAATCTAGAATAAGAGACATGGCCGATTAAAGCGATGCAAGAGTTATTTATGAAACCTACTTAATGAACGGTTAGACTCCATATGGATAATAAAGATACCAATATTTTCAGCACTCTCTCTCTCTCTATCAGAGCCAGGTATGGGCTTACCTCTGGTTTCTCTTTTACGTTTACCGACTTTTCGGTCCCCTTTTTCTCCTGCTTCTGTTTAAATTTCTCTAACTTGGCCAACTTCTTGGCCTCCTTTTGCAACTGCTTGGTCGTTTTCTGTGGGCCATTTTCCACGACCGCGGTCTCTTCGTCCTTCGCATTGACCATTTTCTCCTATTGCTTTTTTTTAACAAAGAGTTTACACGTCTATTTTCTGCTAATATTTATTCACACACAAACCGGTTTATGAAACAAACTCGACGATTGCAAAGCTAACCACGCTAATTGTGCTGCGCCGTATCTGGCCGTATCGTCCAGGAGAGCGCATGCATGCGCATGCAATAGTATGGAAATATGAAGGTATTTGGTCTGTTTCTTTTAGTTGCACTGACTGAGCTGGGTAGCGATCCATGTAACTTTTTCCCTAGAGCGGAAACGTGAAAAGTGAAAAGTTTCATTTAACTACCTCTTTCTATTAGTGTTGAATAGAAAGAGATAAACTTTTTACTTTTCACGTTCCGTCCTAGAGGAAAAGATACATGATCGATCCCCTCTGGGCTGAACTGGTATAATTAAAAAGGTGGAAGCACATAAAATTGCAGGAGCCATGAGCACGAATGCAGAAGCCATATGCGCATGCGCTATGGTGTCTGCATACTGCTTATGGCTTCAGAATTGGGTGCGTTCAGCCGATACTCCGCTAGCCTAGCGCACGTAAGCAGCGAGCGCTTTGCTACCATTTGCTACGGAAAAATTTGGCGAAGCGCTTCTGTCCAGCCAAATTTTTCCGTAGCAAATGGTAGCAAAGCGCTCGCTGCTTACGTGCGCTAGGCTAGCAGAGTATCGGCTGAACGCACCCATTTTCAATCTACAAGGCCATTGCACGTAACAAAGTTTTAGTTTTAATCGTAAGGCCGTAAGAAAATAAACCAATCACACTCGATTATTCTTCAAGCGCGAGAAGAATAATCGACTGCGATTGGTCTATTTTCTTTGTTACGTGCAATGGCCTAAAAAATACATAAGCATAGTGTATGTAGATTGAAAATTCAGAAGCCATAGCAATATGCAGACACCATAGCGCATGCGCATATGACTTCTGCATTCGTGCTCTCCTGCAATTTAATGTGCTTCCACCTTATAGCCACCGCACAAGACTCTCGTATGGTCACGTAGCGTAACATAACCCTAAGAGCACAGTTGACGGAAAGTCGACGGTAAGTCGACTTTTATAAGTCGACTTCTAGTCGGCTTCTAAAAATGGCAGAAAGTCGACTAAAAGTCGACTTCTAAATAGGCGACTTCTAAAAATGGCGAAAAGTCGACTAAAAGTCGACTTCTAGTCGACTTCTAAAAATGGCGGAAAGTCGACTAAAAGTCGACTTCTAAATAGTCGACTTATAAAAGTCAACGGAAAGTTGACTTTTATAAGTCGACTTCTAGTCGACCTCTAAAAATGGCGGAATGTCAACTAAAAATCGACTTCTAAATAGTCGACTTATAAAAGTCAATTTTCCGTCGACTTTTATAAGTCGACTTCTAGTCGACTTCTAGTCGACTTCTAAAAATGGCGGAAAGTCGACTAAAAGTCGACTTCTAAATAGTCGACTATAAAAAGACGGAAAGCAGTCAAGCGGCGCGTCATCAATATGGCGGCGAATCTCGAAGAGGCTGGAGGAGAAAATTAATGTTTACGCGAGTGCAAGGAATACATGCCGCGAGACAGGACACGATAAGACGTCGAAAAGCGCCGCGCTATCAACCACCGCCACGAAACGTCGTCGTCGTCGTCGTCATCATTGTCTTCTCGTTGACTTCCTCAATTAGATCAGAATACTGGAATTTGACTGTATGTATGTTGCAATATGTTTGAGACGGTTGTCTACATTGTCTACAACAAGAATTGTTACAGAATGCCGTTACCAACCGACATGGAAGCGAAATTGCTGCGCCAGATAGTTCTTGCAGGTATGGCGGATCTAAAAGAGGATCAGGATAAGGCCAAGTGGAAATATGCTTTAGAGGTTAGGTATGGTGTGTTTTAATTATCATCGATAATTAAGACCTATTGAATGCGACCTCTCTATTCTGAACCATCTTTCAGAACACCATCAGAAATGGAGGAACCTGGTTCATGCATTCTTCGTGCGTTCTACGGAAAATAAGTCCGGAATAGGTGGTTTATAAAGAGGTGTACGAAACGAATAAGATGTATATGCGAGGTGTCACGGCGATAGAACCCGAATGATTGCCGAAATTCGCTTCCACGTTATGCCATCTTAGTGAATCATTGGTTGATCCACCGCCAAGGTATTTTTATCACAATTGTTGCTTTATAATGTTTTCCCTATTTATTTATAAAGATATTAATTTTTATTATGATCGAATATTATTCTCATTTATAGATATAATCAAGGAACCAGGAAGATCATTTACCGCGTGTCTGGTACATTTGGAAAGGCCGGATGGGGACTACCATCGATGGATATAGAGCATCTGTGGACGGTGTAAAGTGGTTCGCGTATTTCTTCTTGAAGGGTCAAGTGTACCCTAAGCTGAAACGATTTGTTCCGTCGTTGCTGACGACACCTGGGAGCATCACCAAGTCATGGGCCAGGTAAATCGTTATTCTATCTCCTTTTGATTTCACGTTGATTCATCGAATAGATTACATCAATTCAATACGATTTTTTCAGGTTGATACCACGCACTCAAGCAATAGTACAAACGTTGCAGTCGCAGGGAGTCGTGTCCAAATACAAACTGCTAGAAATCTGGGGTTTGGATGAAAAATGTAAGATTTTAATTTATAAAATAATATTTAGATATTATCATCGAGTAGACTTCTATACAATACTAGACCGCTGACAGGCATCTCGGCCGTGATGC